CAATAAAAAAGAAATTGCGGGTTCATTTTGACTAACTGGAGATCTTTTGACGTGCAACCGAAATCTCAGATTGGCCTACGTCGGATTGCGGGCATCTCGGCCAATATTTAAACCCAACAAATATGGATTCATGGGCCAGCGCGTTGGCTCAGAGACACTGAGATGATTTAATGTTTTGTGTTTAGTTTTAATATTATTGCCACTTGAAAGCCACCGAGGTGGTTTTTAAAGAAAATATAGTCAAACCATTCCGACAAGCATAGTTTGATTGCGAAAATGATTTTTGCAAGTGATAAAAACATTAAAATGTTTTTGCATACGCGGCGGAATCTGAAATGGCAGAATGCATTTCGTGGCGCCCATTTCATTTGGATCGCGTCGGGCGTGTGTACCGACGCACAGTAGAACGCGCGCAAAAGTAGCTGTGGTGCACCCGCAGCCTCGCGCTCGTTGTTCTGACATCTCTGGCTCGCTCACTGCTGGCATTCAAGCATCTGACACCCCGACATCTGGAACTTTTTCTGTCTTTCACGTGGCGTTCCAAGCGGCACACGACGGAAAATGCACATCAAGCGGTTCTTGAACACGTGTCGCCATCTGTACTTTATATTAAAAAACTACAATTTGTCGTAACTGAATCGGAAAAGTTTGAGGTCTTATAACATTCTTAACATGTAATATATCAATATGGAAGTTCTGGAAAATGTAATATCGAAGCATGCTTCATAATTTAATGTCTCGTTATTTTGATTAGTTGACGTGATTCCGTTTTTAGAGCGGCATAAAATAATACCATTTTAAACTTTATTTTTTATTTTAAATATACATTATTTGTAGAGTTTATTGCTGACTTTTTTTAATTTATTACATCCAACCGAACGCTCACGTAAAATATCGTGGACGATGGGACGTTAAAACTCGAGAAATAGGTTTTTCAATATTAGAGACTGTGGTCTATTAAAAGGTAAATAAGTAACTAACAACTAAAAGTAATCGGAATATCGAGGCATTAAAGCATTGTTGAAAAACAGCTCTTTAATTTGACATTCACTTTATAATTGTAAGATGTATGGAAAGAAAGTTATAAGCCGTCAAAAAAGCACCAAAACGTCAGGCACGGTGGGGTTGCACCTTAAAGCGTAACACCAGTGTCGGCTTGCAAAGAAACGGCGTCTCAGCTGAGACTGGGTGAAAGTAACCACTGCCAAAGTCAGCGTCCAAGCTGAGCGAGACATAAACCGCGTCTCAAGACGATCGCTCGCCTCAGCCTTTACAGTGCTTTCTTTCACGCAGTAACCCAGTCTCAGCTGAGATGCCGTTTCTAGCACGCCGGCCCTGGAGCGTGTTTCAAGCGTCGCTTGAGCGCCAGCTGCGTCTCCGAAGAGCTATTTTCTGTTTCTCGTAAACTCAAGCGAGCTGGCGCTACAAACGCGATTGTGTTGTCTAGAACGACGGTTTCCCCTCACTAGCCTGCGTGAATCACAGGTTCGTTTGAAGGGTCATGCTCGCTGCAGTTCCTCCTCCTTCGCTCATCCTTTCGGTTGAAATGGAGTACACACACCTACGAACGCCTGCAGAACTGTTATTTTTGTTATGCTTGTTTTTCTAGTCACAATAAATATGTGTACATTACTCAGCTCTCTCGTTCGGTTGTCCCCTTTTTTCCACCGATGAGTGCAGCAATTTTAATTTTATACTGCATTTTGTGCATGATCTCCTCTAGAAACTTTGAATTTACGCATGCCTTTAAGCAATCGTTTCTTCCTAAATTCAAAATTCTAGTTAGTCATGGCAAACAAGTTGGCGCAGGCTACCGCATGATACGAACAAAATGGTATTAGTTGTCCACCTATTCAGGTAGCAGCCATCTACGGCTTGATCCATGTGGTTAACGGAAGTGAAAAAACAGGAAGCCGGGACCAATTTCACAAGGTACGCTGAACGTCAAATGAGCCGCTGGGGCCTGCGGGAGTGGCCACTCTTTACGTTACTCTATATTACTTTATGGCAAGAGACGCTTGGCAACATTGTACGACAAGCAGTGAACGTCCGCCTCACCTCGGCGCGCGGTTCGAGGTTAAGCGGGGATCCCACTTGCAAACGTGTATAGGAGGTGGAACTTATTGACCACCCCTCGTATATCCCGTGCTGCCGCGAGTAATTCGGTTACGTGCACTAACAATGATCGATTGGCTTTCCTCTGTTTTTTTTTTCTTTGTGTTGGTCCCGCTCCCAAGGAGCAAAGGGGACGGGATCGCCCTCCCGCGACGCACTCTCCGAACCCGTTTGGGTTGCTCGACGGAGTCTCCTTGTGAGCGGGGGTGGACGTCCACATCGAGGCGAGACTCAGAAGCAGAGCCACGAAGGGCGCATGCAGGAGGAACATAAAAGGCGGCGTCTGAGCGCGAGAATGTCCTCTGCTGGGAAGTCGCGAGTGTACATCGTCGAGGGTTAAGAGTTCAGGGGAAGCTCCTGCCCAGTATATACAGCGCCAAAAAACGACAGGACGAAGACGAGAGTAAACAGGACGAGGCGCACTCGCAACTAAAGTTTATTTAGAAAAAAACCCATACTATATAGGCCGTTAAAAATGCCTATTCATCCCATCAATCCAGAAGACCTCTTGATAAAATCAAACTCTTTCCCTGAGAGGGCAAGGGAAGGCTCGCTAACGCATTCATCTCCCTTTGCTCTAATCTCAAACGCCTCGTGCACTTCTCGGCATATTTTATCTTTGTATTTCGCCAGAACCTTCACATCATGCAGAACTGGTGAGCACGGGCAGCGACTACAATGAACAGCTAGATTGCCAGACGGGCTTGCTCTCATAGCTGAGCATGCGTCAGCTATGAGAGCAAGCCCGTCTGGCAATCTAGCTGTTCATTGTAGTCGCTGCCCGTGCTCACCAGTTCTGCATGATGTGAAGGTTCTGGCGAAATACAAAGATAAAATATGCCGAGAAGTGCACGAGGCGTTTGAGATTAGAGCAAAGGGAGATGAATGCGTTAGCGAGCCTTCCCTTGCCCTCTCAGGGAAAGAGTTTGATTTTATCAAGAGGTCTTCTGGATTGATGGGATGAATAGGCATTTTTAACGGCCTATATAGTATGGGTTTTTTTCTAAATAAACTTTAGTTGCGAGTGCGCCTCGTCCTGTTTACTCTCGTCTTCGTCCTGTCGTTTTTTGGCGCTGTATATACTGATCATGAACCAACTAGCCCAAATTTCTACTTTGCTGAAGCTCCTGCCCCCCTCGTTTCACATTAGCAGAACGAACGCTGGAGAGAAGGCAATCTCCACTCCAGTGTTCGCTCTGCTAAAGTAGAAAGAAGGGAAGGATTTTCTGCGGAACTATTAGCCTGTCACCGACTATGGAAGCGGCTTCGGCGCTAGACCGATCGTGCTTGGTTCTGGTTAAAATCGTTTTCACAGGCACCTGACAGCCAGCAAAACGGGCAGAGGCCCTAGACTCTTGCAACACAAAGTTGGGGCCGAAGTATAGGGAACGCGCCAATTGGACTTCGACGACAATGACGGCGTGTTTTAATGTGATAGCATTCTTTAGCTACTTCACCCGGGTTTCGCGATACGCTCTCTGGCCTCGAATGCGCCATGCGTATGCGTGGCGCGCGTATGCGGAGGAGCCGCACGTATGCGGACGTCGCCCTGGAGGTCGTTCGAGAGGTCGTTCTTGAGTTAGTCCTAGAGGGCGTCCTTGAGATCGCCCTTGAGGTCGTTCTAGAGGTTGTTCTAGACGTCGTCTTTGAGGTCGGCCTCTAGGGCGTCGTCCTCGACGTCCTAGAGGCAGAACACACACATCCATATTTGCGCCCAAGATACGAAGCAATTACCGGCCTGAGTTGAGCCAGTTGGCACATGTCCAATGATGGTGGTGAAAAACCTTGAACAATAAACAATTACATAGGGACAGGCAAGGCACACAAACGAGGCTGCAGTGATGGTGGGGAAACAGCTTGAACATTCAACGATTATACAGAGACTGAAGATTGAACGATTAGACAGAGACGAAGCAAATACTCAATTTCGAAATGGCGCGGTGCAGTAGCGCTGACGTAAACGATTGCGTCGTAAAACATTAATTAATTAAAGTGTTAACTTAAATTTTGAATCTTCGTATTAACAGTGAGTTGCGTCGTGAGTCTCACGATGAATGCTGTCGCAATTCATCATGCCACCGCAGTAACGACTCTGTTTTTGTGTGTGTTCGTTTAATTGTTTCCTTTCATGTGTTCTTCAGTGTAAGAATCGTTTTTTTCAGGGTGATGAGCCAACAGCTGGCTTGTTTTTTTCTTATTCTTATTTGTAAGTATTCGTTTGTTTCAGTTCACTAGAAATCTTGCAACAAAATGTTGCCGATACGTATGTACCGCCGATTTGTCTTGGGGACCCGCTAGGCCCAGCAAATGGGTTTGAGTGCATGATTTATTGATATTTTCCCCTAGGGCGTTTAAATAATATTTCCTACGCTCCGTTTCATTCCAACTTGACGATGGGCAACAGCAACGAGCAAGTGAATAAGAATGTCACAAAAGGCACGTGACAGCGCCCCGCTGGAGCTTTCCGCGAAAAAAAAATGTTGTCACGACCCTCGCTTCGACGCTCCGGGCTCGACGCGTTTGCTGTTGGTCAAGTTAAGATGAAACATAGTATACCGACCAACGCCGCTCTTTGCTTCTGCGCGGGAGAACTATCGGAAACGCACCAAGACTGCACGAAATAACCGTCCCCTTTCCCGGGATCTCGAAAAAAAAAGAGATTTGCCGAGGTTCCCCAGAGGGGCCAAATGCGGAGCCCATACCGCGGCGCGAGCCACGTGTCACTCACTGCAGTGGGCCAGCGCGAAGCGCGTGTGAAGGGCGGCGCTGATTGTTTCCGGGTTCCCGTGAGCTGTTCCACTTTGCCGGAGCCTCTGCCGCCTGTCAGGTGACCTGCGTGCAACCGGTTGAAGCCGTATTTAAACGAGCCGCCCAGGAGAGGGCTCACATCGTGCCCGTTGCGCTCCCGCCATGAGGTCCCTCCTCTGCCTGCTCCTGGTTCTCATCTCCCTTTCACTCGTGTGTGAGTAGCTGCCTTTTTGTAGCCGACTTTGTCACCGCGTGTGTCCTGTCGCGCTGCACACTCGACAGCCCATTTTGAGCGAGGCGAGCACCGTCCCAGACGCTCGCAAGGTGCCCCCCGAAACGGGTCACGGGCCACGTCTCGCGGAGCGATGCGGTCGGCCCCCCGCTCCGTTGGTGGCGAGGCGCCGCGCTGCTCGCTTTACGTGTCCGCCGCCGGTCGGGCTAGGTGGTGCGACCCGTCGGGAAGCTGCTGGGGCCGCTGCAGGTCCCGAGCCTACGACGCTCGGGTCCTGCTGCGACTGTCTTGCACCTCTGTCGTCCTGACTGTTTAGCGAATGCCATGGGCGTTCGCTCCTTGCTTTGAATGTGCTTGAATACGTTCAACGGCGCCATCGTACGCGGTTGAAGGGTACATATCTGTTCCTAAGCGAAGAGTACGAACTCCCCTCCGGCAGACTACCTGTCTCGGCCAGACCTTTCCAACTTACTTGTCTGCGAGGAGTAGTAGCGCACACGCAGCCGACAGTCCTAGATGTGCCGTGCAACTCGTCACGGAGGACGTTGTCGAGGCCCTCCAAGATACCTCCAGGATACTCTCGTGCACCGTAGCACGGCACGAGCATAAATCTCATGGGACGTTTCTCTTGGCACCCGACGTTTTGCAAGAGCTTCTGATTTAGGACTGATCGTCGTAGTGTTGACTGCTGCTCTAAGGCTACCATCAGACTCACTTTTGCGTTCCTTGTGCGAGTCTCCGCTACTTTCTTCTTGTGTGGAGTTGACATCATAGTGCATGCGATGAATTCGGTGAGATCGGTGAATGACTATTGCTGCAAGACGTTCATTGTCACGCAAGTCGAAAAACATTCTTCATTTAGGAGTTTCACTGAATGTGTTTCTTCGATCTATTAATGACTCCCGTGAAATATGTTTCCGACCTGTTTTCACAGCCTCCTAGTTTTTCTGTCAGGTGCTGTGCACGCGACTGCGTGTTTACGTTGTGTGAAAGAAGTATCAGCCAATGTAGTGTGCTCGATAACCGCGCCTTCCGGAGCGTTGTCTTGTACCTACGAAATGATACCTCTATGTGTAATTGTGACAAAAGCACGAGAGCCAACTTGTGCAACCGCTCGGAAAGATGATTTACTTCCGAGGATTAGGATCTTGCGTCTAACAATGCTTCCAACGCAGACATCTGTTTCCATCGAAGCCAAGGTTGAGCGATGGGGAGGGGAGGGTTAAGGCTATGTTAATAGATTGCTTAATAACTGAGATGGTGTTTTTGGTTTTTTTTTTTCAAAGTAACAGCTTTGAAGCGAGAGTCTGCAATGTCCGTTCTCGCGGGTGTCAGTGACGTCCTAGTAGCGATTGTTGGGAGTCCTGGAGACCGATACATCCTGCATCGTGCACCGTCCGAGCAGCCCACGGCAATGGTGCGCAATTTGAGAAGCGTCGCAATACCTCGTTGTCAGCCATAATCAAGGCTAGGCCGCTGTCAGGGAAGAAACACCCTATTTTCTGTGCGGTGTGGAAATAAAACTGGCAGTTCTGTTGAGGGTTGATTGAGGCGTGTAAACTCTTACAACTTGGTTTTCAGGTTAGATTTTGTGGCTATAGGGTTGATTTTTTCGTAGATGTTGCCGGTGTGCTGAAAGTTCGGTTTAATATTGGCTTGGTACTGATGCGTACTCATATTCTTGGAAAGTGTTTCAGCTTTTAGAAAATATACCTCTCAGATCCCAGTTTAGTATCGAGGAATGCGCGCTGCCTTCACACCACTGTGAGCGAGAAAAAAAAGGATACTTTTTTTCTTGTAATTAAAAAGACCTAAGTTCATTAGAAATTTTATTATTTGCAGGCTGCCTTGCCATAACATTTTTAGCTAAGCTTTATTCTCCCGTTTCACAAACATTCCAGATGGTATATGAAACCACTTCTCCTAAACGATATTTTCAAACTGCATTTAGATGGTATAAATTGCATTTGCCTGATAACAGCAGCACAGAAAGTGGTCGACAAAGAGTAACAAAATTGGCTTGAAAGGAAAAAAGCAGTTTCAGAATTTCTCAGTTTATAATAATAATAAGAAGAACGATAACGAAAATATTAAACTATTCAAAACGTAGTGCAAATACGGTCTATCAAGTCCAAAGGAGGCTTGCTGGATACTACCCAGCAAATGAAATGACGGAAAAATGGACACTCGTTAGCGCCACAGCAAATAATAGAACCCAGAGAACCTAGGTTCTGTCTCCGTGCCTGCACGTTTCGGTCTGCGGGAGTATCGTACCGGTGTGCGGTCGTACACGCACCACATGCATGGGGCAGCATAGGAATTCCAGGCACGTATTGCTCACGCTCTCACCCACAGCGTGAGCCAATGTCTCCGTACCTCAAAGGCAGATGAACCTTTCGTCGCCTAAAAACTCACGTGAAATTGGCCTAACATTTGCTTTGCATCATGTAGCAGCCAGCAAATCGCAGTTATACGTTTCTGAAAGAATAAACACAGGAACGAGCAGTACAATGCTTCGCCGTATAGGTCCCCGTGTTTATTCTTTCTTTAAATTCCACCAGCGTGGAATTTGCGTTGGTGGAATTCTAAACAAACTTATCGAAGCTATGTTGCTATATATGCGAATATTGGCGTGGGAAAACGCTTTTCATTCTAATACATAATTTTCCATCTGATGCTGGCTGAGGCGTTTCCCGAATTCCCGGAGTAGGTGAGATTTGGCGTGAATACCATTCCCAGTCGTCGTGTGGCGCGATGTAAATACACTTGAATCAAATGTAATTGGATACTTTAGGGTATTCTCTGCCACACATATTACGTTCGTGCTTTGTTTACCAACCAATACATTTGAGTTGCGAGTGACTACGAAGTAGGTTTCCAAAATGTGATGCGTGCGTTTTAAAACAAACGCACAAAACACAACGTTCTTGCGTGTTCTTTCGTAATACGAATAAAGAAAAAAGTGTATTTCTGTATCTGAAAATGTTCTTCAGAAAACAAATCTTCCTGTAGACCCTCTTGGGCCTTAGCTGTTTCGTTGTTTTAGAGTAAAGCACGCTATCCGATTTCTTTCGGCGCTTGATCAACCTTGTCGTCAGCGCTTTCATCTAGTTTTTTTTAATTTTTGATTGTTGTTGGCGGTACAAACGATGCACTGTGATAAATCTGGAGCATTTTACATAAGAGCAAAGGAGTTGGGAGAGCCAACTGACATACTCCCTGTTAAAGCGCATACTGTTTTTAATGTTTTAAAGGGGTGCGAAAACGAAATGTTTGCACTTATTTCTTTTTTAGTTGTGGTCCATGTTGCGCGGCAGCCCAGAAACACCAGCTTAGACTAGTGTATCTAGGTCGCCAACAGAGGAATAAAAAAAAATTTTTTTAAACGAATCAACACATTAAAATTGCGTCTGGTGGCGGTCTGTGAAGCTAGGTTGGAAAGCCCCCACGTCATGACTTCCTAAATAGCAGCGCGAGTTCACGGCAGAATCGCTCGCTCGTGGAGTCATTTAGTCCTGAATGTGACTCGGCGGAGAACGCTAACGCGTTTACTAAGTTTTATATGTTAAAGCTACCACGGTGCTTCCGCAACGCGCATTCCACACCCTCAAGATCGCCGTTCTTTGCAGACGTAAGCTAGAACTGAGGATGCAGGGACCTCTGCCAAACCATTCCACTGCCGCTTCCCGATGCGCTGTGAATAGCGTGCTCACATATGGCACCCAGTGAATGCCTTATACACATAGCTTGCGGGTATCGCCATTGCTGGGTACTGACGGTTAATTCCACTTACTGGTTCCTTCGAGCTACTACTTCTGCGGTGTGAAACTATAGCACGGTGAACCGAACTCTCGGGGCGCATAAAATACTGGCATGGCTGCGAATGACGTTACGGTCAAGCTAGACCATATATGGCGTACAGTACTCGTATATTACAACTCGGCGAGATTGTCATGCGTTGACGCCACCAAGCGGCAAGGCTCGCAACTACAGTACTCTTGGCCGTGCATGAACTATTGACGTCACGAGCGCGATACGCAATGCGTTTGTCGCTGGCCGACTTTGAAGCGAGGGGTAGAGAGCTCACGTTCACGTCATTTTGTTTCTGTACCCCTTTAAAGATATGAAGCGTCGGCATTTGCCCGTCTCCCTCCGTCGACTGCAGCGATTGGCCCTCTCAAGTACTTTGGGTAAAAGTGGACGCTGCAGATTTTCAGGGTCTACCATCGTCCTAAAAAGTTGTTGTTTTCGTTCTGAGTATACTTTGCTTTGTAAAGCTTTAAATCAGTATACCTGTGTGCGGTCTCGAATATTTCGTTACTCGTCCTTCTTCCAGGCCTGGTTCGCAACTTCGCACGCGTGTCTCATTGAGCAGCTTCTGACGCGGAAACACGGAGGCATTCGCGAAAACACTGCGTTGTGAAACGGAAATTTGGCGATCCTCAGAAGCTAGGAAAGACAAAAGAGGTGCTGAAAAGCGCTTATTTCATCCTCGAACGGTTCGAGTCGAAAGAGACACGCAGAAGGCATAGCGCAGACTACCTGCCTCAACAGCTTTGAAAATATCGAGAGACTTCATTGGAAAGCTTTATTCCGACATACTTTCAGAGCTCCACGTTTAGGCCACTTGGTGAAGGGATGATCTGTTGCGATAAAACATTGGCGGCTGTGTTAGTGGTTCGGCATTGCGCTCTGTGAGGACTGACTAATTGAGAGGCGAAGCTATAGACATTAGATGATAATCACATTACAGTGTTGTGTGTAGCGCCTCACGCTGGAATGTGGCTGTGTACGCATGTGCACGTGGCCTTGGAAAACTTCCAACTCTACTTATTTATACGAACATACCAGTGGACATCTTAAATGCCGTTGGCTGCGCTATCAAAGGCACAGGTGCGAGAGCAGCTTCGTTTAGCGGAGCAGTCGCAGGAGGAAAGTCCCCCCTAAGGCCAAGCGGATTCCGTCGCGCAATCCACAACACT